GAGCTGAGCCTTTTTTCATTCAGTGTCATCAAGAGAAAGAAAAAAAGGCAGGAAGAGACGATAAAGTTGATAATTAAAATTAGGTTGATAGGTTTAATTCATCTTGCGATTAATTGATTTATCGTTTATAGCGACAGGCCTAATTGTGATAGGAAGGGTAGTAAAAAACCCATTTATGTCCAAGAAGGACAGATTAAAAATCTACTAAAAGCAAAGGGATGAATAACAGAAGACTGGTTCCAACGCATTTATTTTCTGATGAATCCTGCTTCCGATTACTTTGAATTGCTCTGGAATATAATTTCTTTAGATACCATACTTGTGTAGCATCAAAGCATCCTGATGGAATCGTTGTCTCTGGTCCAAAATGGAGGCACTTTCTCGTAAAAGCCTTGTAAAATGTTTAATTTATGTTCTTCAGCAGAGCACAGACACATGTAAAAGGACTGGATGAGAAGTCACAAGTGTCACATTCTTATGTTGCTTCAGTTACCCCGAGCATTCAATTATCTGATATCCAACTTGTGTCTGAACCAGACGGAGAAGAAAAGAGAGGAAGCAGCAGCGCAAACTGCAGAGACAGAACACCCAGCAGGAGAACAGAGGAGACGGTCCGAGTGGCCGGAAACGGCCATGCACAGAGGCCACGCCCAGCTCTCTCAGGCTGCTGGTGGATTGCAGCTTTGACGACCTCATGCTCATCAAGGTAAGCAGGTTTGAAGTCATGGATCCTGGCTGGAAGAAGAGACAGACCTCCTGACTGTTACTGCTGCTGCGTCTTCAGGACGTTCGTAAGCTCCACAAACAGATCCAGCGCTGTTACGCTGAGAACAGACGGGCTTCACACCCTGTTCAGGTTAGGGCTTCATATGTCTACGTCTTTGTGAGCCTCTGAAATCATGTGCAAGTGTGACACAGCATGTTTTCCCCTTCTCCAGTTTTATCTAACGAGTCTGGGAGGACAGCTGAAGCAGAGCATGGATGAAAAGGACAAAGGATGGGTGAACTGGAAGGTACCTGCAGCCAGCCGTGCGGCCTGTTCTGGAAGCATTTAGTGCAGGGTTTCCCCCAGAAAACTTACTAAGCCCGGTGGTCAGGGCACCGAGGCGGTCCACCGGCGGTCCACCATGTTTTTGTATTAAAAGATGTTAAGTAGACAATAAAAAGTAAAAATATCACTGGGTAATTATATGTTATGGGAAAACATCGCCAGTGAAACACTACTTAAACCCACAACTAGTCTTAAAAACAACTAATCAAAAAATACAATTAAAATGAATATCAATTATTTCCACTTCTATTAAATCCAAATTAAGTCAGCAGCTCCATTGGGCCCCCAGGGCTTCAGGGCCCCCATAAATGCTAATATTTTAGACCACAGATATATAAATGTAGCATTTGTTTATTGAGATTATCATTGCTGCTAAATTTGACATAATGGTTTCAGCATATTTAAATTAAAAGACTTTAAATTATTTAACATTTAGAGGTAATATTTTAAGGACCTGGCAAGATTACTTTGTAGAAGTTCAAAGAACAATATTCTTAGATTGGTTTGTTACCGCAGCTACAATCTGATGCTGTGAGTTTAATCTTTGAGTTTCAGCTCCGTTTGTTCACAAATACAAATTAGTAAACTGCAGTTATAATTTATTGCTTTTTAGGTTTGCCAGTTAAACTACTCCCCCTGTCCTAGATTTCACTAAATCTAACACAGAAGCTGTTAGAGGTGCTGATGTTTTTAGCAACAAAAGGGGCCCCCCAAGTCATATTCTGCTCCAGGCCTCATACACCCTTGGACCGACCCTGCATGATGAGTTAAACCCGCTGCACTGCGCAGAAATGAGCAACAAACGGGAGATTTAATTCAATGCTGCTAATGTGGCTTTAGTAGCTCTTTCATTTCGTGTCTCTTGAGTTTTTAACAAGGGGACACAGAAACTATTTTGGTTGGTCGAGTTTATGGGACGAGTTTTTCAGATGTCCAGTGGCTGCGCACATTAACTC